CTAATAAAAAATAATAGTGAGCAACACACATACTACATGTACTGTATGTATGTGTTGCTCACTATTACTTTTTATTAGACTTACAAACTTAGTTTCAGTGATGTCATATTGTTCTTTAATTTAGCCGGAATAGCAAGCTGCTTTCGATCATCTGTACACGTGCCATTTAATTTGTGTATTACACAAATCTTTCCACGAAACAGACAGTTTTAAGTGCAAAAGGTGCGAAAGTGCAGAATCACTCCAGCATCCCCTTAAGCGGTAAATAATCTTTTTTTTGCATGTTACTTTATATATACGGTTTCAATTTTACGGAATCAGAAAATGTAACATTTATTTAAATTATTGTGCATTAGTGAGCCCAAATTCTTATCTTTCTTGGTTGATTTGTGGAGGGCACATTTACGCTTATCCGTACGAGCGATGATAAAGTATGACAATTTACTTTTATTATTATTGTTTTCGTGCAAATGCGTGAAAGAAATATTTTTACAGCGTAGAAAACCTCTTCTCTTATACGTATTCATTTTTTTGTACTGACAGGCTTCGTTTACGCGATTCTCAACCGCGTAGAAAAATCACTGGAATGAATACTCCGCGTAAATCGAGAGACAAGTATATTTATTTTCATCAATTTCGTCATATATAGCGTGATAAATCATCGCGCCGAAGCCTCGCACGGTTGACGTTGTTATAACAATTTCCGATATGAAAGCGATGCGATATAAATCGAATGGGCAGAGAGTAGAATGCTCTTCGTTATTTCCCCGGTTCTCTCGTATGACTGGATGCGGGACACCGAACGAGACAATAAAAGGATCTCCTGTGTACGACTCCTCTCTTTGTCTGCGACAATGCGACATTTAAAATTGTTACTGACCTTATCGCGCGCCTTACAACGCCGGGAAACGGCTTCCATATGGCTCGCTACTTATTTTGAGAAGAGCGATTCATGAAATTAATATCACGGAAAAAAATTGCACTTTATATGACGTTATTTAAATGAAAAGGAATACGCCAGAATAATAAAAAGTCGCTGCTTATAGAAAAACGACGTTGTAAATCAACACGGAAACGTTACATCATATTATCTTAGTGAAGAGAAATATGTAAGAGTATTGAAAAAAATATATACAGAACGTTTATGTTTCCATTGAATTATTGCGCGAACGTTGCTGCCGCCTGACTTTAATTATGCGTCGGTGATTATTTGTTATTTGGAAAAATAACATTTATAGAAAAGCGGAGCTCAGGTTTTCCTCTCGTTGAAGCTAACGTCGACGTTACGCGCACTAATTAAGCACTTCTCTTTTTAAGTACTGGATGATAAATGAAGAATAACGTTGCGTGCTAAACACCGACGCATGCATATTGATGCAAAGTCATGTTTACTGCGTTAAAGAAATGCCGTCGCATTAGCATATATGTGCGCCCGCAACTGACTGTCGCATTAGGCGATCGTTATATTCCACAGGCTTCGCTATCTGCCGCGCAAATCGAAATCATTCTCTCACAATGTACATCAATTATTTTTTCACAGGAATATTAGACTAATGAAGAATAATCGCCTTCACATCGAACGCGAGCGATGCATAAGAATATTGCAGAAATGTTCTACAAGGCAGCTTTGGCTATAAAAAAAAATTGATTTCAATTTTCAAATATATACCGTCCGAGTGCCACTTGCAATTTTATTATACGTCTTGACTATAAATGCGCTTAACATAAAAAAACCGGATCATAAAACCGATACCTCGATTCGAGGACGCGCATACGTGTGTGTGTGTGTGTGCACGCGCAGGCACATTCGTCGCATCGCGAGGAACGTGTAAAAAGCTTGGCAGAAACTTAAACGCGGGAGAATGTTTGGAGCATCACAGATCCCCGGTGAATTTGACGTCGACTTCTCTTTATCGGAAAGTCGTCCGACTAATATTTCACTGCGTGGAATTTGTTGTATTTCCCACCCTCTCGAGCATTCGGTTGAAATTTTTCGGCTTCCACCGTTCAATTAAAAATCCATCCCTCGCTATCTCCGCCCCGTGGCGCGTATTTGCAATTCGTATGCATCCTGATAAAGAGGCCTGTTCCTACAGCAGACCGGAAATTAACAGGAATAAATTGTCCTCCCGGTTATTTCTGACGGGGGAAAAAAAGGGATGGATGGAAACGTGATGCTTTCTGACGTGGTCTTGATAATTAATATTCCGCGCTAGTTGCTGCAACTATTTGATTACGACGCCAGAGAGAAGGCGGGAACAGAAGACGTAATGCCTTCCTGCGGCACTTCTGAATAAGTAAGTTTCTTCGCATGCCCTCACTTGTGTTTGATAGAGCAAGTTTGAAAAGCGTGCCGCGGACTTCCTTTTCGGCTCTCCTTCATTACTAAATTGCGCGGTGGGCTCTACGCGTCTCACTTGACATCGCAATGATTTATTAATTCTCTAGATGTCACCATGATTTATTAACTCATCAGCCGGAACACGGAAAAAATGATCTGGCAACAAAATTTTCTAGGTTCACCCACAGAAAAAAACTTCCGGATCCAATGCTATTACACTTCAGTGCATCATAAAATAGGATCGAGTTAGCGTCAATCATATTTATTATAGGGAAAGAGTGTGCGGAAAACAAGATTCGTAATTGAATAGCCGATACTGCGAAGTCGCATGTGTTTTGTATTTAGTCAATTTGAATAACAGAGACAGAATTTCTATCTGAGCTAATAGCGGATGTTGGGAAGAAAGTCTTTCTGTGCCCATCAATTATAACGTTTGATACACAAGCAGTTATATTCCTTTACAAAGATTATTCTAGCTATGGTACTTCAGTCATGAAACATAAACTTTTCGGAAGGCATTACTAGTCCAAAAATGGCGATGAAGTTTTGTCGTGACGCTTAGAAATCTGCCTGCGTTAGCAAGATATTATTTTGAGCAAAGTGTAAAGGGTTCGGAAACACTCCCTCGAAAAGTGCCTTGCAACCCCAAGATGAGTCAATAAGGATATTATATATTTTTTAAGCGTTAAGCGATTACACCCATTCTAAAGCACGCGAGTCTATTTACGTGCCCGACAGGTTCAATTTATATTATACAATTGTTGTGCAAAAACAGTTACGTGCCATTTTACACTTTTCACGCAACAATGCACCGCGTGTCGGGCAGTTAGCCAATTAGTGGCAAGTTAATTAGACATAAAAAATAAATAAGCGGCGCGTCCTCTTGAAGAACTAATTATAAAGATCGAGCCCGGGGCGGATAGCAAACTGTTCTGCAAATGGAAAATGTAATTTCAATTCTCTTACGTCAACGCGTAAAATCTTGTCGCTCGGAGTGAAACCGTCGGCTCGAGGGGCCCCTTCTCATCCTCAGGACGAGGCAGGCGCAAGAAACCTTGATTGAATCGATCGAGTATGTTTGTTCAGCAAAATGGACCGGCTATTTCCTGGGAGAGCTCGTTACTGATACACCGGTATCGACACGACGTGATTTGTACAGAGTACCGAAGTGTAAATTTCACCCGCGTCACTCTCTCGTGACGCTCATAATTATCGCGGCCTCAATTACGCCATTAAAATGGTTTTACTGAATAGCCGCATTATTAATACGGCTGCCCGGGAAATATTAGTCGTCGTACCTTAAATCATGATATACGGGCACGAGGGAAAGTCAGTTCATTAATATTGACGAGAACGTCGGAAGGAATGAAGCAATTTTCTCACGTTAGAAAAAATTTATTTTACAGACTCGCATATTTCTTATTTGAGTAGCGTTATTATTCTCCTGAAAACTCGGGCAGTCGATTTACATTTTTGAGCATTATAGTAACACAACGTTGTAGCAATTTTTGAGCGAATTGTTCAACTGCTGAGTGTTTTAGCGTGAAAAATTGTTAATGTCATAATTACAACGTCGCGTTTAATAAAGCCGGTCTTTATAATTAGGTAAATTCAATAATTAAAAGAATGCAGTTAAAAGTGAAATATGACACGTGCACAGAAATGTTTATGAAATATAATTTGAAAACGGGCAATTCGCAAATACATTTGCCGCGAGCTGTTTAACTGCTGAAAGTTTCAAAAGTTGCAGTAAACGTCATAATCCTTGGCGAATTAACGTCAGGGGTTTAATAGTTTAATAAAGCCGGCCTTTGCAATTAAGTAAACCCAATAACTGAAAGAGAGTACAATAAAAAGTAAGCGTCCACTTACACGGAGGCGTTTATGAGTGAAATTGGAAAAAGTAAAATTTAAAGGTTCTTAAACGAACGCAATTTCCGAGTGGAGTATTTAACTATCGAACGCTACGGCATGAACGCTTGCGGATAAATGTCACAACTGTCCGCGATAACCGATAGTCTAATATAATCTTTGCAATTAAGTAAATTCAATAATGACGAGCAACTTCAATAGAAAAATAAATAGAGACGCCCCGACGGGCGTAATTTAAAAACAAGGAGATCTCCCTCCTTTCATTGCAATGCCTGGCTGTTACGGACACTTCCTCCTCAATATGCATGAGCGCGCCATCGACAGAGTGTTTTTCTTTTTCCGAGGGACCGGTAATGTATAAAATACTTTCTCGCAGCCGTGTGCTCTATATCGTGTGCCCTCCTAATCGCAACCGTTCCCGCACGCAACCGTCTTGTATTTTCCTCCCCGTAAGCGAAGGGTGGCGAAACAAAACAAGACGGATTAGAATGAGCCACTCGCACGCGCGCATACACACACACATGCGCGCGCGCGCGCGCGCACACACACGCACACATCGGATGATATTTCCCCGTGGCTTTTCATCCCTCTCCTCGTTGCCGTCCGCGTCCCAGTAGGGCAGCAAGGTACGCGGAGCGACAAAGGAAACGAGCGAGGTCACCCTCGCTCACGTTAGACGCGTCCGAGAGCCACCGCCTCTCGCTTCATATCGAAATTCGAGACTCTCCTTCGAAACACATCCCTCATCATGTTTCCGTATCAGAAAGATACACGAGAAGACGCTGCGGACAAAAGTGTTCGCGCCGTATTAAATAGCGGGCTCCGTCACTATCCATATTAAATGCTATCAGCACCGTGTGCCGTTTTTAGCCTCGTTATTAACCGCGAGTGTATCGGCATTTGGCCACTGATATCCAACGAGAAACTTATTAGCGCGAAATGAATTTCGGATAAATAAAAGAGGGGAATTTTATATTGCGAGAGAGGAATGTAAAATTAAAACAGTGTTAAAACAATGTTGGTTTATTAAATATTGAATATTGTCTGCATTGGTATTTTTAAGCATCCGTATTAGCCACGCATATATTCTATATTTGAACGCCGATATACGATAGAAATGCATTGGCACGAAATGAATTTCGAATAAATAAAAGGGGGAGGGATTTTATATTACGAGAGAGAAATGCGGAATATTAACTTCGAAACAATGTTGTTTAAAATAAATTAGTATGGCTCGTACGTGTTAAACACAAATTTCAAAGAATTTAAAGGACTCAGAGCCGTGACAGGGTGGTAGCGTCTAAATATTCTATTCTAAATTTATTGCGATGTTGTTAAGTTAATTGAAACGTACAAAAAAAATATTGTGGTCGCAACAGATGATAGATGTGAAAAGATTGTGAAAGATGAAACCTATAGATACAATAGTTATGCACATTCGCAACAATCCTAATAAAAAGTGCTCCTTTTTTTCATAGGACAGAAATCCATTATACCTTATCGTCGCGAGAGACACTTTCTTTGACCAGATCGAACTACGTGTCGATAAAATCTACCGTTCCGCTGGGTGATTGAATAGTTCGGACGCGTGTAGTCGTGTAGGACATCAGTCGCGACTTGTCGGCAAGAAATGTCCTCCCTTAATCTTTCAGCCCGCCGGTACCTAACGGAGATCTCGTGCGCGCGAGTGGGTCGGTCTTAACGCGAGAAAAACGGGCTTACCTTCTCGAACATCGTGCCGTACTCGTCGTAACCGAGGAAATTCGATCTGAGCCACCTATCAGCCAGTGTCTCGGCCAGGTCGACCGCTTCTTTCACTTTGGTTTGATAGAGACCCAGAATGAGGAAGGACTGCAACGGTGGCCACGCGTTCGGGAAGTCCCATTGTTCGCCGGTATAGTTCAGGGAAGTTGGCGTGCCACCTGCGACGAGACAAGCGTATCGTTTTCTTACGATAGTGCTTCAAACGCGGTAAGACTGTTTGCCCCCTGATTCGAGACAATCGGATCCGGGAGATCGGAATCGATAAGCGAGGTCGCTCAGCGTGAAAGTGCGTCTTAACCCGTTCGCATCCCGCGACACGACGATTCGATTTCCGACTTTGTTTCTCAACCAGAAGGATTCTTCTGGTTGAAATTTCTGACAATCCCCTGAAGAAAAATAACCGATTAGCAGCATTTAGTAACTGATGACGTTGAATCAGTAACTTGTGGCGTTTTATCAGTGACTGATTACGAGAGACAACTTTTAACTTTTGCCTGTTATTACAAGACTTGTATCATAAGTTTACAATTAGTCAAGTTTCAATATTAGTCGAAAAACCACTGTTTTTGTAAAAAAAACGCTGTTTTTCTTTTGTCAAAAAACTGCTCGGTTAGCGAATCACTGCGAATGGCGAATCGATGAATTTTTCCTCCACACTGTTCATGAATGTACGAATCACAAATCACGCATAGTGCGGCGCTAATTTAATAATTATTTGATCGCAATCGATAATATGATACACCCAGAAATATCTAAGTAAACGTCTTTCTTGAATTATTCATATTTTGCAATCTCCCACAGCCTCGGTGCTACGTCTATTATATAAGCAATTGCGTAATTTTAGTCAATTAAAGTGAATTGTGGAGATAGAGAGAGAGAGGGGGGGGGGGAAAGAGAGAAAAGAGGGTAATTTAACTTAACTGCATTAATAATGAAGTATGTAAAAGTTAACCCGGATGTAATCTGAAATTCAAGCGCGTTCCCCAACAAATCACGATCACGAGCGACGAATTGGAACACTGTCATTCACAGTGTTCCAATTTACCGGAACTTCTTTTATCTGCGATCTTTTGGCAGGTCCTTTAATCGGTCCCGCTCTAATAAAAATTTGATTGGACCGCGCACCGACATTTTTGCTCGATCCCAATTATTCGCTACTGATCGACGCTTCGTAAAATATCTGTCATTAATCTCTCCCGTTGGACGTGACGAGAATTGAATCCCTCGGTTAAAGCAGCTTCCGAACGAAACATCCTTTGCCGCCAAGTTTTTAAACTCGCGCCCGTCTCGACAACAGCTGTCCTATTATTTTGCGAGAAAACAAAATTCTATTGGCTCGGGGCGGTATTGTAAAAAGCCTTTCGCCTCGTTTCTCCGGCGCGAAGTTTAAGGGTCGGTTACGCGCGTGCCTTCCGGAGCCAAATATCACGCTAAAATAATTCGCGATATTTTCTAAGTCAATATCGGGCGCGCAGCGAGGTGGCCGCGCGGAAAAGGGGAGCAATACTACGACACTTGCGCGCGCGGGGGATTCATTTCGCTAGGATTTTCCGCGAGTCAGTGTCGATAGCAGCCGCTATTCGATTGAGAGACATTTTCTACGCGACCGTCCAATTTTCCCGCGCGCGGATCGCGCGCGATGCGAACGATCCGGCCATTGATAAATCATGATATTTCTCAGCCCCGTCTGGCATCCGGAAATCTCGTTCGCTTCCCCCGTACGTGCGTCTTCCTGCGTTATGCCGGTTATTGCGAATATAATGACGCTTTTCACTCGATCCGGCGCCTGTTCTCTCGAGCGCGCTTTATACGTATATACGTTTTCGCAAAGAAGATTATTCGTAAATAACGAGCCGCTATAAATAACGAGGCCGTACTTCTGCGAGAGCAGGCATTCGTCTCCCTTGACTTCACGTGCAGAAAGTAATAGAGCACAATGCGGCCGCTAAATTCCGCCCGTGGCTGAAATAAAGCGCGAGATGACTAATTTAGCCCGCCCGTAGCTAATTGCGCGCGGATAACAATGATAACAGCATATCTCGCGATAATAGTCGGCAACTGATTTAATATATTCGGCGCTTTGTATCGTACTAGCGAGCAGAAGTAATTACCATCGCCGTTTACCAAATCCCAATTGAATTGCAACTCTCGCATAATAAACGTTAACTCGCTGCCGGATAATTCGGCTTGATTATTTTTGACAACGCTGTTGTCGAAACGGTGCTGCGATTTGCCAGGAAATTTCTAACATTGTTAAGATACTCTTGACCGCATTCCGTATATTATACGCGGAATATCTGAATGCAATGTAGCGGTTTGATGCGCATCGACGGCGTTACGTGCAGTCGTTTCTCTACGAGAGCGGATAATAGGCAAAATCATTGTTTGCTCGATCCGGAATAATTCTCGACGGAGTGATCGACTTTGGCAAGTTCGGAAAAAGAAAATGGAAGATAAACGTCCGGGCGGGAGCGGAAAGGCGGAAGTTGGATTAACTCGTATACTCCATCCCAGCTGCGTTCGCACAGCGAGCGCGTATCGATCGGACATTCTTTCAACCGCGCGTTATCTTCATCTATTTTTGTTACTTTCGGCGCGTTTTATTTATCCCATTTCGACTTGCTTTGAGGGCGAAAAGCGGACGCAAGTAATGGAACGTGTGACGGGGCGGGATTTTCAGGTAATCTCGAAGAGGAAATTTCAGATTTGCGTCTATCGGATTGCGAGCGATAATAAAATAGCGAGCGGCTGGTGCAGAGAGAGGAAAAATATTTTGTCAAAGTGAAAGGCATCCCAAAAAGTCCTCGGCCCGAAAAGTCAGCGATTGCAAATAAACACGTCCTAAAAAATTCAATCGACGGCCGTACAAAAAAGCGGTCACGCGTTTTTTTAGGCTTTTCGCGTTGAAAAAAAAAAGAGAGAGAGAGAGCGGGAGAAGAGAGAAATATTTTGTCATCGACACGGATCACCGTTTAAACTCACCAACGTACGAGTCGATCTTGTTTTCCTTGAGATAAGTAATGGCGCGCCGCGCATAGGCTTTCTTCTTGCTCCGATCGTAGCTCATTGTGTACAGAGGCGACAGATTCGAAGGGTAGAACGTATTCCTGGACCGGTTATCTCTCGTGTCGTAATCCAGCCAGGTCCCCACGTCCTCGTTCCACAGCACGTTGTCGATGGCAGCTTGATAGTCCGAGGCAATTTTAGCGTAACGCCAGACTTTCTGGAACGAGAGAGACAGAGATAAATAGCAACAAGGGACACCGCGATGTAACGCAATCAATAACGAGCGATTGCCGGCAAAATGATAGACGGTATTGTGCCAATTATCTGACCGAATCGAAGCAATTTCTTTCGGGTTCCGGGCAAGCGGTAGACCTGCACGCACTGGTCTCTCCGCGCATTACCGAGGGCTCCGCTCGCAGTGCCTGCGTAATACATAAATGAAGATTGGGAGTAGCGTACCGTGGCCCGATTTCCCAAGTAACATTAGCGTATCGCCCTTTAACGTGATGCGACGATAAATACAGCATTATTCAGGGATGCGCGCGGGTTGGTCCGTGCTGCGCGCGGACTGTTTGAGGAGCGGCAGGGCGGTTTAGCGAAAGGCTTACCTTCAGGTTACCCAGGCTACCGTGGAAGCGGGCGAGCAGCCGGGCGTTCCGCTGCAATATCGCGTTCAAATCGACGGGAACGATGTCGCTCGTGGAGACGTTGACGAGGCTGAGATTGGCGTTCTCGTTCGTTCCTATGCACCATCTGTAGGAGAAGTCCCAGCCGCTCTCCGCCGCGGCTTTCAAGCCGTTGTAAAGCATCCCCCGCTTCTCCTCCGGCACGTCCTGCACCAGCCGGTAATCCTCCCTGTGAGAACACGCACACGTTTCGTTCTTACGTGCCGGTCCTTTATATAATTAACGCGATGATGGAAGACCTTCCCGCTGGTGATCGATGCAACTGTCGAAACGGATGTGCGGGGGGGGGGGAAAAAACGATGGGCCGACTCGTTACGTGCCTGCTCTCAATTAAGAATCAAGAGACGCGACTAATGGACGCGAGCCGTTAAACTGTTGTTTCTTTCATACCGCGAAATTCGGACGAAGAGATCGCCAGCTCTTCTCCGAGATATGTAAATAATTGAATTGCAAGTTTTAATATCTTAAATATATGTCGATGTATATACACGTCTTCAAGTTACTATTGTTTCCTTCTGCACCCAGAAAAAAAGATTCAAGTTGAATGAGATACGTTGAAACCACGTTTCGTTGAATCTGCAAAATTTTTATTTATTTCTACTGAAACATTTGCTAGATTTGAAGAGATAGATATGAATTCCCTCAGACATTCCAGTCTGTATCAAATAAAAGTTTGGTTAAGGTAAAGAATTCGTTTCTTTGAGATTAAATAAAAGTCTACTCAGGTCAGAGTTGAAAGAAAAGTTGTTTGATACCAAAGAAACTTTTTTTTTCTGGGTGTACCGCGAAATTCGAGCGAAGATCACCAACTCTTCGCGGATATATAAATAATAGAATTGCAACTTTGAATATCTTAATATATGCCGTCGATGTATATATGTGTCTTCAAATTCGAACAATTCGCCTCAGACGTATTCTGCGATGCAGAAGAATTCCAACTAGTTATAACAGTTTAGTTCTACAGCAGTTTGCTCAAAATTTTCGGTTTCCGAACGTTTTGACGGTTATATCGTTCACTGAGAAAACTTCCCTTGGTATCTTCCACCGAAAGAAAACTTACTTGTAACTTTCCGGTCGAGGCCCGCGGCTGTTTACCACGTAATGTGCCATCTTGTACGTCTTACCGTTCTTCGTTACATCCACCGTCTTTTCATTATGCCAATATTCAAATTCCTTTTCGAGGAGTGCGATGTTGGCTTCCAGAAATTTGTAATCGCGCGTGTACTCGATGTACTTCGCGACCTGAAAGACATTTCCGTCGTTGAAGGAAAACCGACTTGCGAGTTCCTCGAGAAATAATTCGAAGAAAGGAAGATCGTTCGCGGGAGATACCATTGGCTTCTCTGCGCGCGTCTCTGCACGAGATACAAGACGTCTCGAGAGAAGAGCAAGAAGCAAGGACGTTGTTCGTCGGGAATACGTACCATCGGTATTAACAAGGGCGGTTGACTCCTCGATAAGTAATAAACCCTACCGCCGTTCGGCACGAAGCCGTATCTGTCCACCATCGAGAGGAAATTCTCGATCATCCCTTTAACGGTGACGTGCATCTCGCACAACAGGAGTCCCTCGACTATCCAGTAGCTGTCCCAATAGTAAAACTCTGTGGCAAAAATCAGTCTCTATTTTACGAACGGCTTTCCCCGCCCTTTTTTTTCTTGCGCAACGTTGAATTCCGCTCTTAGCTTATTGCGTATTATCCCGAAGCAACACGCATAATATCTGGGATGGAAAAACAAAGTTCGGAGACCGGCAATTGATACTGCAAAGAGGAAATAAATTCTCCTCTTAATTTAAAATTACAATGAGTCTCTCGCTGAGAAATGGGTCGGTCAAAAGCGAAGGCGTTTTTCCCCGCGACGATTCCTCGAGTGAGCTTCTCGCAAAGGGAAGGTCTATACAGTATTCGCGTACGACTAATATCATATTAAAATTATTATCGCTTCTTAACTCTCAGCGGCGTAAACACATAAAAGTACGCGAACGACTTCTCCCGCTTACTAACAAAGCAAGCACATAAAAATAGGTGAGCACAGTCGCAAAAATGTCAACACCACCGCCATCAAGAAGTTTCTGCAGGCGCGATTCTTCCAGCAGCTCGCCAAGTATGTACAAAATTTTTATGTATGCAATCCAAAGTAGAAGCTACAAACTCGCGAATATAAAAGAGCAAAGCCAAATGCTTTTAAGACCCATTGCGTAAAATCCTTTTTATGCATAAGAATGTTTTTAAAAGTATGCAAGAGGGGCAGGATTGGCTAAATATTTATTTCGCTCAACCAGACTGAAACTTCTTGCGGAGGGAATAGTCGGACGGGGTCGCCGACGCTAAAAGATTAGGAAATAAATTTCGCATGTAAACAATCACCTTTAAATCGTCCGCCGGGAATGACGAAGGGATTCTTCACGTAAATCAAGCTGTGCCGCTGCGGATGGACCAACAAGTCGCCATTTATCTTCCTCGCCAAAGTTTTCCAAATGTAGTTCAAACGTTTCGCCCAATCGCGGTACTGGGAATCGCGGATGGATTTAAGGATGGCGGGATCCTCCTTCCAGTCGGGCAACGTTGAATTATCCAGCTCGTCCTGCATGGCAAAGTTCTCCGCGACGAACGCAGCTACCTCGGAGCGATTAGGAGAGTTGCCGGTGGCCTTCATCAAAGTATCGAAGCTAACACAAACCGAATCAAATTAGCTCCGATAGCACTGTTCCGGCGAACCCACCGTACGCTCGCTCGCTCTCTCTCTCTCTCTCCCTCTCTCTCTCTTTCTCCAGATCCACGGGTGGTTTCAACAGTTTTATGCAATCAAATAAAATCCTTTCGCGTAAAACTCACTATGGACGATTTATAATTCATGTCAGATCTATAATTCATGACAATTCCATTTATAATAATTTTATACGCCGCGTATTTTGCGTCGCGCACATATTTCAACATACCTACGTCGTATACATCGCGCCCGGAGTCTTTAAATATTTTTCAAACGTTTTTATCGGTACGCATAAAATTATACACGAAACTTTGCATCTAATTTTCGGAATTGTTACAAGAGTTTCGGCGCACGTATTGTGAAAGGCAAAAACAAATGAGATATTAGCGAGCTTATTATCCCGCGTATATGAAACAGCTGTTGAATATGTACATTTGTTATTTTATTTTCTATAAATTTTGTGTGGAAACGATATTTATCGCGTATCTCTTTAATGCGCGTTATCTCGCGGCGGAAAATTTACGACGATAACGATTCGCGATACCGCCGATACCTGTTAATTTAGCGTTTCGTTCTTATTGGGCCTGATATTTATAAGCAATGCGAGGTACGCGAACCTACATTGTTGCTCTGTTTACTTCTTTGACAAACATTTGCTCAGCTTTTATATGAAAATGGTGTAACACCTTCCCGGCTTTATTCTCGCGTCACGAAGCGAGTGTACAATGTGCGAAATATTATGAGATTACGGGATTATGTAACACGTCTGCAGAGACAGACGTGAATCCGGTAATCCTAAACGGTACACTCGTAATCCGAGTACTCTCAACTCGTTATCCCCGTTGTCTTCGTTATCGCAATCAGGAGGAAGCCACGAGGTTCGATCCAAGAGCGCAGAGCCCTGCGCGACGGAGAAGAATCCCTTACGGCGAGTCGAGGGCGGACGTAACCGCGGTGTCGTAAAACGAAAGCTATAAATATCTCTACACAGGAAGCGATTTAACGCGGGGCTCACGTTCAAGGGTCGGTCGACAGATTTACTCGCGACAGGAGTCCATTTAAAGAATCTAGATAACGATCGCGCGATTTCTGTCGATTACGCGTATGTTAAGCCTCGTCTACATAGAAGTCGTAAAGTCGTAGTCGTAAGAATAGTCGGCTGTGATTGGTTAATTCTTATGTGTCTGACTGAATTGACCGATTACAGTCGATTATTCTTACGACTGCGACTCTGCGACTCTCATTGTAGACCCCGCATAACACACGCGCGAAATCTGAAATCGTTCACAAAGCGCGGCATGTTACAACAGCGTGTTTTAGCGGGTAAACAGCGAGGGTAAACAGGGAAATTTTGTATAGAACTGTTTCAGACATCATTTCATCGCAATTTCTGTGTAAACGGCGCGAGTTAATTGGCAAATTTAATTGGTAATTAATTCATCCGGCAAAATTGCTCGTGGCGAAATTTCGAACCGTACAATTTGTCGCCCTTAATCCGTAAATGGCGAAAGATTAATAGTTTTATTTACATATGTCAACAAAACACCCATACAGCACACAAGTATAGAATCAACATTTCAGAAACGTTCCATTACAACATTGCAATATTGCATCAATGTTACGAAATTTAGATTCAACGTTGGAAAGATATTGCAAAAACGTCTAATGTCCGCTGAATTGTAATGTCTTGTAAACGTTACAATTCAAAATTCCGAAAACGTTGTGAAATTATATAGAATTGACATTGGTCGCGTTTAGCAGAATATTTTTTACAACTGTTGGAAGAGCTGGAATTGGATTATTCCTCTATAAACTCTAAAACAATAATTCAATCTTAGCTCAGAAAATTTCTGGCAGTTGCAAAAATATTGTATATATTTCATAATTATACCTTTTTAAGTATCTATTTGAGTATCAAAAAATAATAATTTGTTCGAGATTGTTTTAACGTTGCAGCAATATAAAGAATCAATGTACAAATATTACACAGTAAAAAATCGTGTGTTGAAATGTTAAAATTTTCTTGTGTTACCAAGACTTGATTATTATTTCAATGTAAAAGTAACATAAAACAGATATGTTATTATATTCGTAACATTTTTACGTGTTATATTTATGTTGACATACTAACTTGACACTTTATGTACGTCATTAAAAAATTGAATACCATTTTGAGTTTTTGTAACACAATTATTTTACAAAATCAACCGAAACATGTAATATCGACTTTCTTAAAAATTATTTCAACTATTTTAATTTGTAACTATTCGTGCAGCTTACTTATCCTGTCTGTTTTTATTACACTTCATTTATGGTTAATAGAATATAAATTTGAAATATAGTGTTAATTACAGTAATTAACATTTATTATTTGTCAAAAAGTAACGCATGCCGTAAATGTTATTTTAACTTACAGTGTAGAGTGGACTTTTTGGGACATGTGAGAAATGTTAACATTAACATTTAATTTTTTCCTGCGTAACCTAGATTCAACGTAGAAAAGATATTTATACTTCAACATTCAACATTGCAACGTTTCAGCAACATCATTTTAACTTTCGGTGCTGTATGGGATATTACCGATATTGTTTTCAGTTAAATTGTTGAGCAAGTTAATCGGGATTCACCCTCATCGAAGTCCCCCCGCGGTCAACGGTTAAATTCGAAAAGGATCCTTACGACGCGACGATATTCGTGCCGTTCGATTTAATCCCCAAAAGTTTCGCTGATACGCATCGCCATCGCGTGTATACGAGTTTGCTTTTAGGAAGTAAAGCTACGCGTATTTGCTCTCAGCTGCCGTTGACGCAATTAAGATCCCCTTCATGCGGGGCGACCGCGAAATTTGATTATTCCCCGCGCGAGGTGGACCTAAAGCGACACCCTCGTGCGCTTCCAATCCAAATGACATGTTTATGAAGATCGAACGTCAAGTGTGCACGAAATTATAGACCTCGGATACACGTAACTATGCAAGTGTGCTTCCGCATTTCCAAACGAGGCTTTATTGCTACGCTGTACCACGTATGAATCACTTTACGATCCTGACGATAAAATCTTGTGTTTTGTTCAGAGAGAGAGAAAGAGAGAGAGAGAGAGAGAGAGAGAAAAGCTTTTTAATAAAACAAAAAGTATAAGAAGTGACAATTTTTATCAATTGAAATTAAATTAATTATTTTCTATAATTATGGAAAAATTAATATACGCGTGTTACTCTTGACGTTCCAAGTATTACACTCTCCAAGTATCAGCTTTTTATGAATAAATTAATTTAGGAATAAACCAAGGGTGGAGGACAGATAAGGGAGAATTATTTTAAAATTTATTTATATACCGTAGAATCAACTCTTTTCTGTTTGTCGAGATATTAAAATGCTTCGTCGTCAGGAGGTTTACTTTCCGTTTCGTTAAAAATAATAACGACGTTTAAACAATACCAGAATCGTGAAGTAAGATATTTGGTATATGTAAAGCTTTCGCGAGAGAGGTGACACTTAGAAATTCATAAAACAGCATTCATTCGCATATAAAATATATGGAATGTGTCTGCACGTGTAAAGTTTATTAGAGATCGCTGCGTATTTCGCGAAAGAGATCTATTTCAAGGAGATAATAATATTATTAATATTCACGTGAAGTTCTACATTTAAAACTATTTTTACATTTATTTTACATTGATTTCTACTTTCCTTTTAGAGCCTTACTTTTCACGACACATGGAAAGTAACGTATATTTATTGCAATTTGTTATATCAAAGGGAAGTTAAGAATATTAGGGAGAAATTAGCAAAAACTTTTTTCATAAACTCTGAACTACGTGTAGATAATTAAAATTTAAGTAATGACCTTGATGAAATACACGTGGTAAGCAATTATTAAATTCTTTCCTCGTAAGATTTTTCTGATTCTATTACATTAAAATTTGTAAAGAGTTATATAACTACACATTTTATTAATTTGTTTGAAAATTGATCTTTCCCGTCTTTGTCATCTTTTTCAGTAATTTTATAAAAGCTAGGATCTCTCTTATACGTATACAGAAAATTGGTACTTGGGGAGAGAGAGAGAGGGAAAGAGATTATTCATCTTAGTTCTATTACTTCGACTTACTTTAAGTACCTTGTCAAGTGGCGCGAGATATTTTGAAAGCTCAGAACGAAAGCTTATTTCGTACAGCCATACAAAAGCCGCAAAGGAGATAGACCGAGTGCATTGAGAGACGTGACACAGAAAGATAGAAATAATCATTTCTTATCATTAAAAAGAGAAAGATATTAAATTTGTTATACATCTCGATCGTTTCGCCTGCGTATGACAGATGTCAACTCACTTTTCGATGGTCACGCTTGGATCGTGTAGCTGGTACAGGTCCACGAAGGTTTTGCTGTCGTTAAAAATTCCAGAGAGCTGCACCGTATGCAACAGCGGTCCCTCGCAGTAAACTTTGCTGAAAAATCAACACAAAAACGGGACGTGTAACGAAAATTATAATTAACAAACAACGTCTATTAGATAAAAATGGTTAATTCAATGTTTGTTTGTGCGCCACGATGTTTGCAGGACGTGATGCAGTGCGTTCGACAGGTGGATAACGTTAAATTAACGGATTTTGTCAAAGTGCATTTGATGCAATTGTGTCAACGTAATTGCGGCAAATCAAAACGGGGGTCGTTGTTATTGGGAGGAAAAAATGCACAAGACGAATCCCGGTGGCGGATTTAACATAAAATAATTATTACGTTGTACACACACAGTTGACAAATTTATTTCGCGGCATGAATAATTATGAAATAACTTAACGTCGAGGAACAAAGACCTTTGATTAATTAAGTTCAAAAGAGTGAATAAATAATAAAAGTTCGCCCTTCAAAAGTGCCGTGCGCACGATACGGGGTCTCGCTCGTATTATATGGTTCGTTGAAAATAACACTTTAATGAATTCATGCGCTCTGTATTTGCCATCCGTGCGGGTCGCATACTTAAACAAACGCATATGGTCTTTACGTTCGCAAATTAAACGCCAACTTAATTGTAGATAATTGTAGATAATTAAAGAACACAAGGCGTGGAACGTACGAATTTACGTTTTATATTGAAATTACAAGGCTTAATTTCACATTATTTAATTACCTCGATGAAATAAACGGGAGAAGGTGAGTACATTTACGTTTAGTCATTTTATTTTACGAAACGCATAATATTTTTCAAGGTAAAATTTAAACCGGATGTTATAAAAGAATAATGAAATTATTTTTCAAAAGAGTATGTCACACGCACACATACACACGCTCGCATAAATACATTTTCTATTTAATTTCAGTTTGCTATAAATAAAATAATTAGGTAAATATGAAAAAGTAAAAAATTTTTCTCGACATATTGTTTGAAGAATTAATCCGGTAATATTGAAAATGATAAATTTTTGAAAGGATATTAACCAAACCAGTTTTCGCCGAGGAAGAACAGAATTAAAATTTGCGTTGTAATACAATTTTTAGTTAAAAAGTTACCCGATAGATCTGGGGTGTTCTCTCTTACTGTTCCGTACGAAACTTTTCCAATCAGCTGTTTTATCTTAAGATATACCGAATGTCGATATTTTCCAACGATGACCAAGGGCCTGTCCCAACAATTTCAAGCGAGACGACAACTTTAAGTGAAACTTGGACGAGACTGTTATTTTTCCGCGACAGCCACGTCGACGGTGATGTCGACGGGGCGCAAACCTCCGCTTCCTGAAAACGACGGTCCATGAAACGAGGTAAAAAAAAATCACGCGTTTTGAAAGCGCAGTGAAAAGTTACTCGCAGCTTCATTGCGTGGCTCATTGTTTTCCGGCTGATGCGAAACCATCGAGACACAATGAGCGCTACGTCTTTGTAACAAGAAGCGGCATCGATGTGCGACAAGAGATTGCACCTCATTTTTCACCCCGAGCTTTTCTCATCAAGCGTTCTTCAGATCAGAAAACCAAAGCTACGAGAAATCGGAGAATAATAGATTTTTATTCATATTTGATATATGAGAAATTAATTTTCAATGCGGAATGAAGATTTTTTTCTACAAAAGGATCGGATGCTATCACGACAAAACAGAAAAACACAAACTTAGATTTCGAAATGTTCTTTAAAAGCTAAAAGGATGAAGACCTAGGAATTTAAGAAATTACAAAAATTTATTAAACTAAATTTAAATAAACACATATATAATATTTAGACTTATTATATTTATACGTACGTGTATTTGATGTAGATCTTGTATCGAAGGACTCTGACATTGTGACATAAATTTTACTTTTAGTCTCCCCAAAGAGATAAATTTAATAGAGAAAATCAATTACCTTGTAAGCCGCTCAATCGGATTTTCTTCAAAAGATAGTGGTTGAGTGCCATAGAATAAAGTCGGAAATGTTTCAAAATGTCGGTAACGATTTTAAATAGAGACTTTATTATTCGGCGACGGTTAACATTCTGAACATTTGTTGAAGTAAAGTTTTGTTTGTAAATTACGGATTTTCAATTTCACTATTCAAGATTTTCAAATGTAATTTCTCGAGAAATTCACCTAAATTAAAAAAAAACAAGACTCAAAATTCGTAAACTGAATTAAAAGATCTTAAAAAATAATGTTTTGCTTCATATTTTAAATAGACACCCGTAGCGCTTAAAGCTACTAAGATTTTTAGAAAAGCAGCTACTCTAAAGAAGGGAAAGAACACGGTTCAGCTTATTGCAATTATGCATTTCCCTTAAAAACAAAATTGATGTGTCTGAATATACGTTTTTGAATATATGTATCTGTATTTCATAGAAATCGGTCGGTTATAAAAAACCGAGGTGAAAATTTCTGTTAGCCCACGCATACATTTCTAGGTATATACACACATATATACAAGGTGTCCTAGATTTTAACGATCAAACTGTGCTAGTGTGTAGTAACTTTTAATAACGCTCCTATGTTTATATAACATTATTTCTTACTTTTGCATAAAGTACACTCTGGCGCAGTGTAGCTGTTAAAATCTGGGACACATTGTGTAAAAGAAACAAAGTGTACCGACTGGACATTCCTTCGTTGTACAGTCGCGGTCAGAAAGGTTGTCCGAAGTTTTGTGATGAATTTCGGAAACGCAGTCCATCTTGCGAGAGATTATAACTTTTGCACGCGGATATGTGCAGTGACGCATTATTAGAGGGAAGGGTTATGTGAAGGTTAGTGCAAATAATGTATACGAATATCTATACAATACGAATGTTCCGAAAACTTACTGTAACGCGTCGGGCAACCTTTCTGACCGTACTCTATATCGTGAAAAGATAAACAACGCTTAATTCATCCCGTATAAATACTTTCCGGATACTTTGAGAGTGTCTCTAATTAAAAAAGTTGACTCATCTAACAATACTCCTTAATCGATTATTCACTGGTGCATTCAGCGAACGCGCTTTACTCTTAATTTATCCGCAGTAATCACCTAAACTGAACGAAAGTATAAAGTGCCCTGTTTCTTTCATCACGAAATGCCCGAGATAATTTCTGCGAAAAAGGCTGTTAATATCGCCCGCTCCTATTTCCTTTTATGTGATTCATTGTCGATAACTTAAATGATCTTATCAATACGCCTTAATCCTATCATGTGTGTGTGTGCTTAGTTTCTCAATGAATTGAACGATGACGTGTCCGTGGCTGCACATCGTAGGATTTTATCGGATTAAAGGATACGAAGAATCGAGAGTCCCTCCTCGAGGCGATATAAAGAATTGAAAGCCGTAAATCCGTAATTCTCACTTCTCGCAAACGGACCGTTACGGAAACTTCTCGAGCGTTTTCTCCGTCAAGGGATAAAACACCATTAACGGACGCTTCCGTGTGTTTTCCTCCTTGTGAATGAGCGGAGAAGAAATTTCGGTTACGTCTAGACGAAACCTCTATGAATCGGAAAATTTCGCGCCCGGTCCCGGCACTGCCGGCAGAAATCAGGCATTCCCCCTTTTACGTTGAATTTTGTTTCCCAAATGCGAAAGATTGATTTTGTCAACGTCGACCGAATTCTGTTCGTCTGATTGCGCGGATATTTTTCAGGCTTTCGTTTTATCATCGCTAAACTGCTACGTTGGCAAAAGACACGTCCGAGAATCATTGTTTTCAATATTTCTCCTATTGCGATTACTCGTGCAATTCAGGACGAAGCTGTTGAATTGTAATTACGGTTAATCGACATTCATGAAAGAAAAAAGAAAACGGGGCACCCGTAATGATAAATCATATTGTCATTAACTATCGGCGAGACATCAATAATAATCACGTGCGATACCAATAACAAACCATACGCGAGAAGTTTCACCTGTCCCGAGAAAAGTGAAACATATGACTTTCACTCGCGGTTCTAGCAATCGTTTAAATTGACGTTTAAATGATGATGCTGATGCACGTCTACCAAGTGCGAACATATGCGAACTTATCAGGTTTGCAGATAAAACGTTATCGTGGCTCGCTAATTTTCCGGAATGATTTTGTTCGACGTGTAATGATGAGGGAGAACGAGAGAGAAGGAGCGAGAGTCAAAGAGAAAGAGAGAAAGAGAGAGAGAGAGAGAGAGAGAGAGAGAGAGAGAGAGAGAGAA